GATCTAATCAACCCTTTATGGGTAATCTGCCGAAAAGTAGAGTTACACCCAGTAAGCCATCTTTTCAGAGTGGAGTGGATTATGCTGGCCCCGTATCAATAAGGGTTTCAAAAGGGAGAGGTCATCATGCGTCCAAAGGCTATATCTGTCTATTTGTATGCATGGCAACAAGAGCTATTCACCTTGAGGCTGTTAGTGACTTATCCGCTGAAGGATTTTTAGCAGCTTTTAAACGTTTTGTTGCAAGAAGAGGTCACTGTGCCGATTTATGGAGCGATAATGGCACGAACTTCGTGGGTGCCGCAAAAGAGCTCAAGAAATTATTGAATGTTGAGCGTTCTACTGTAGCCGTAGAAATTGCTGAGTGGCTAGCGACTAATGGCACTAACTGGCACAACATTCCTCCGTATGCTCCAAATTTCGGTGGATTGTGGGAGGCTGGTATAAAGTCCACCAAATTTCACCTCAAGCGAGTAATTGGTAATTCCACATTAATGTATGAGGAAATCACAACTGTACTGACTCAAATTGAAGCCTGTCTCAATTCAAGACCGATATCGCAAATCAGTGACAGCATACAGGATCCTTACCCACTGACCCCCGGTCACTTTTTATTGGGTGAATCTCTATTACTGGTTCCCGATGCTAATTATGAGAATTCCAATGTAAATAGCCTAAGGCGATGGCAATTCACACAAAGATTGGTCCAAAATTTTTGGCGACGTTGGTCGAATGAGTATCTTACTCAATTTTTGCAACGCCACAAATGGAGAAACAGTGTTTGTGAACCAAAAATAGGTGACGTAGTTTTAGTCTAAGAAGCCAATCTTCCACCTGCAAGATGGCTGCATGGTATAATAACTGAGAAACATACAGGTACTGATGGTGTTACGCGAGTAGTTAGTTTGCGTTGTGGGAATAGTCAAATCAAAAGACCTGTCTCAAAATTATGTTTACTGCCTGTGACTAAATAAGACTCTTCTTTTACAAGTTTTTTTTTTGCACATTTTTTTTTTATAAGGTTTGAATTGTTTAATTTATACTTTTAATTTTAACATCCATGTAGCATTTATTCAAAACATATTAACATTGTGTTAAACATTTTGCTCGAATTTTTCTAATTTGTAAGACAGTTACTAAAAGGTGTTAATGTGAGGGTTACTATACCGTCATAATTATTGTTATGAACATTCTGTCCATGGCGGGCGGAATGTTTAGCTATTTAAGTTGTCACTAAAATATTAAATAACTGAATCACGATGTTGAGATTATTTGTAATAATATAAGGTGCAGCGATTTATTAATAAATTTACTCATTCTGTGTCTCCAACGTATTGGTTGTTTCAATTACGTACCTTTGAAATAAGAGTAAAGTTCGTGAGAAAACGAACAATAGTAAAGAAATAATTTGTATAATTAAACGCATTTGGTAGTTATAGAAAAATTAAAGAATTAATGTACCCATTTGTTATGAAAATTTGGGACATTTCGTTTAATAACTTTTTTAAATATTAATGTATTGAATAACTTTTATCATATACTGATAAAGGACCAAAATGCCGATTTAATGATGTTTAGCATATTAGTGTAAGATTTAACCTTATATAGAAAATATTGCAATTTATGCTAATTACATAGTGAAAATGTTTTAAAATAAAGAGGCAAAACGGAAAATGGCAAGCGGCTCACTATACAGTATAGCCGAAGTCTACCTTATGGGGGCGAATCCCAGTAACGTTGTAGTAGGAAGAACTACCAGTGACAAGCAGTAGTATCCGGTAGTAGCTGAAGTGACTAGTAGCAGAACATAGTGAACAGTAATAGTGAATTAGAAAAAGTTTAGCTAGCCGAAAAAGGTCGTAACTGAAAATCGCAGTTACACATAGCCGAAAAAAGTGGCAACTGAAAATTCGCAGTTACATATAGTGAAGTGTTAGCTAGACGGAAAAAGTGGTAACTGATATTCGCAGTTACACAAGTGATAAAATCAACTAGTTTTAGTTGATTAATAGCTGCTAGTCAGTAGTGTTAGAAAACCAGCTACTACCAATAGATATTTTGATACTACCAATAGATATTTGATATTACCAATAGATATTTTGATACTATCAATAGATATTTTGATACTACCAATAGATATTTTAATACCAATAGAAATTTTAATACTACCGCGCATTTTAATTAAATCTGTTAAAATATATAGTGACCAACCAATAGTGAACAACCGTAGTTGAACAACCGTGTTCAACAACCGTGGTCAATAAATAATAGTTATAAAATTTTGCGACTAATCACTCAGTCGAACCGCTGGCCACTCCCTTGCTATTTTAATTTATAAATCGTGCATTTTAATTTTGAACCTCAGTCCACAGTTTTCCAGCAGCACACACAGAGACGGCAGTGAAAGTATCCTCCGGAACCTATAGGTGTAGGACGTGAGCGACTCGCGGAGTATCTTCGACAACATTTACTCCGGAGAGTTACGCCCGTCCGGCACAATATCTATTATAGATAAAATAACTTTAACGGAAATCCCCCATAAATCTGCCGTTTTCTTAACTCTTCAAAACCCGAAAATACCAAATGGATTTATTACTAAGAACCCCTCCAAAGAGTATATAATAATTTAATTTAATTAAGGGACCCCTTAGAACAATAGATAAAGAGTATTCAGAACTTAGAGTACAAATAAGCAAGGTATAGAGCGCGCGTATCGCTCAATGCCCATTATGCCAAGCGTAAAATTGATGCCTATGCGTTATTATACTTAAGTTATTAATTTGATTATGTAAGTATTTGTAAATTTTAGGTAAGCGATAATTATAAGGTATGTTTTAGCTCAATAAAACATAGGTACGAATTTATGAAACGATGTTTATTAATCAAACACAAAAATCTAATTAACTCTCCCGTTAAAAACCATATTATACAGGGTTAGTGGGAACTCGACAACTTCCTGGCATAGCATGAATTCACTCTAAATCTCTAGGTCAGAATTAAATAAAATACACACAATAATTTGTATTATAGATAAAATAACTTTAACTTGACTTTATATACTTGTATGATAACTTTAGTTTGAAAATATTCCATTAACAATTGCTGTATTTGTTTAATGGTAACTAAATTAATCAGTACAAAGATAAATATTTTGATTTATGTTTATTTTTGTACTCGTATCGGTATTTTTGCATAATATGTCCCGTTCGTACTTACTATCATATTTCGCTGTCGTGGACGTTAGACATCAATACAATTTTCTAGAAATAAAATTAGTTATTCATCTAACTTATATCTACCTTGTACGGTACACTGACTGATCACCTAGGTTGGGTGAAATTCTTATATTTCGGAAAAAATATTAGAAAGGTTAAAAAACAACCTGAGCTAAGACAAAACGCCGTTATCACTTCGCTGTTTTGTTTACATCTAAACGTGTCGTTGGTCGGGATGAATGACCGGATTGGTCATCATCAGCTTCGAACACCGATATATAAACCGAAGGATGTTTTTTCACAGATGATTTTTTAAACTGGCGGTGGACGACTTCTAACTTAATACATCTTTACATTCATTACACGTTTCTTAAAAGTTTTATTGTCTTATTCAAAATGGTGCCATATCACTCTACTGTTTTTACGGGCCGACGCCAACATAGTTAATATTTACACTATTTGACCACTTAAATACCTAATTACCACTATACTTGTTTATACTATTCACTATTAACACTTAGAACTTAATACTATGAATAATTATATTTTAGTTAATCTCTCAATTTAGAAAACTACTAAATACGTTTAACTTGAACTATGCAAAGCGCATTTCAATGGAGACTAAAAAATAATGTCAACAAAATTAAAAATCCTGGCTACATATATTGACATGGATATTTCATATCTATAAGCATTGTAATAGAGCTTACTTTTACAAAACACCGCCCACTTCGAGAGTCGAACACGTGCAGAAAGAGAGATAGCCGTCGAAACAAGCAGTGTGAAGAAAACGGAATGTTCACACACATCTGTTATCATAATCACAAAATTAAATTTACCGATAGACAAGGACAGAGATAGGAAACGTCGTAGTTGTGCGAGCGAAATCGCGTTAGTTAATCGCGTATTGTGTCTCTCGCGCATGTTTGTAATATCTATCTCGCTCTCACAAACATGGCGAAGTCAACAATAAACATCATTATAATTTTCAACAAAATAAAATTTTTAGCTATAATTATGAGTGGTAAGTAATCCCGTGTATCTTATTTTTATTTTTTGAATTATTAGAACACTGTTTAGCTGCACAAGAAGTCATTCAGAGTCTTTTTTTATGTCAACTCAATTCCTTTAGTAGTTTCTCTATTTCTGACATTTTGGTGCCTTATATAACTGTATCAACAACTCAACACAACCGTTCTGCAGCGTCCGTACAGTTAACGCCCTCTACGGAAACTCCACAGTACTAATTAATACATATCTCCGCTAACTCAATAACTAACTAATCGAAAAATCGATCGATGTCTTTGAGCGTGGCAAGTGGTTTTGATGATTGAAAATAGATGTCGCTGTTATTGCGCAGACACGGGTCTTGTTGGATGACAAAGCAAAAATAACTTTGTTGTTATAGGTTATAAATATGTGTTTTTTTTTTCACTAATAATATTATATTATTATTATTATTATTTATATTATTATTTATATTTGGATAAGAACTTAATGACTCTAAGTTATATTTACCTTCATTAAAAAAAAATTGTCTTTGGCCTGACCTACTATACTCTTTGGCTTGACCATAGATCTAACTAATTTGGAGGTTTTATAAATGGCTCAAGTGGTTAACATCAATAGTTTTAAAATATTTAACGATATCTTTTGGCAGTACTTTATGGAATTGGTACTGGTATGTCTCCCTCTCTCTCTCTCTCTCTCTCTCTGTGTATATGTGTATGAATGTGCGTGCGCGCGTGCGTGTTTGTGTGTGTGTGTGTGTGTGTGTGTACCAACCCTGGTGGGCGTGGAGGGCGTGTAGACGGGCGGCGGCGGGGGCGCGGGCGCGACGTGCGGCGCGGGCGCGGGCAGGCGCGCCTCGCGCTGCAGCGCCGCCGCGCTCTCGCGCAGGCCGCGCGCCGCGAGGTGCGCCGCCACCAGCTGCAGCAGCTGCCGCTCGTTGTAGTTGATGCGCGTCTGCGCCACCACGTTCGCCTGTGCAACGCACGACACCATTACCACCATACATTTTGTATAAACTAACGTTAGAATAGACTGGCAATGCTAAAGAGAAAAAGCATAATGTACGCGTATGTTAAAATGAAAACGACAGGCAAAATCATTTTCGTATACTCTATCGGCCTGTCACCATTCTTGAACAAAACAAATCCCGCTTGTCCCAAACAATCCCGAAAATTAGTGTTAATTCACGTAATTAATTATGGCTACGTGTGTAGTAGTACCTAAATATAACTCTACTCAAAAGAAATCCCTCAATATTATACATATAACCCGTAAGTACATTTAAAATATTTAAAACTAATTAAATTGATACTGCGGTAGGAGCACAACAAGGTGCAACAGCGGGCAGCAGGCGCGGATTAGCGAAGACTATATTGAACCAATGACCCTTTTCCTTTTGAAGGTGAAGTGGAGTGACTATTTTTACTCACCACCGCCATCTATGATAAATACGTATAGATTAATTCGAACGCATGTTCGGCGCGACTATACTCCCGGCCTTTGAAAAGTTCCCTTTCAAAATATTTTAAGAGTAACTTATTATTAATTACATAAGTGACAAAATATTTATATCTGAAATAGAGAGATATGATGCGAATTACGGACAGTGTGTGATGAGTTGTTAAAATTTCCAAACAAGATATAAATAGTATTACGAAATTGCGAGATTGACAAACAATACTTAAACTTATATATTAATATCTATTTTTAATAATCACTATTGTGTAGGCAGTGGACACAAGCATACCACAGGTCTCTTATAGATACCGCGGCTAGTTTTGATAGTAGCTACTCTTGCAATCCCATCTGGACCTGGATGAACGTCAGTTATAACTCCCATCTCCCACTGTAATGGCGGAACCTTGGTATCCTGTATTACTAGCACTACTGTACCTGGTTTAATATTTGCAGATGGAACGTTCCATTTCACGCACGCCTGTAGTATGCTTAGATAATCGAGCGACCATCGGTCCCAGAACGATTGCACTAGATTGTCTAACAGCTGATAGCGCTCTAACAAATGTTTCACTCGATCTTCCACCGGGGCGGCGGGTAAATACTTAAGCGATGTTAAGGTCAAAAAATGAGAGGGAGTTATAGCTAGCGGCTCACTTGGATCTTGGCTTAACGTTGTACAAAGCGGACGCGAGTTGACTACATTTTCAATTTGACATAAAACTGTGTTCATTTCTTCGTAAGTTAATATTTGCGAGCCAATAGATCTGTAAAGATGCGATTTTACTGATTTAATTAATGTTTCCCATGATCCAAAGTGAGGTGCACTAGGCGGTGTGTTTTTCCATTCTATTTTATACTCATTAAGCTAATGCACTAAAGCAGAGCGATATTGCGTTGACGTTATGAATTTAAAAAGCTTGACGAGCTTGAGGTATGATTTTGCACCCGAAAATTACTGGCGTTATCAGAATGCATCACCGACACAGGTCCTCGACGCGATATAAATCGTTTGAAGGCAGACATGAATGCAGGAGTACTCAAGTCGGTGGTGAGCTCAATGTGAATCGCGCGAGTTGTCAAACACACAAATAGGCATATATACGCCTTATGGCTACGAACGCCACGGCCACGTTTCCGAGTAATGAACAGCGGGCCTCCGTAATCGCAACCCGTTTGAACAATCGCTTTAGGTACAACTTGAGTTCGTACCGGGGGCAAATCTCCCATAAGTGGACAAATAGATTTGAGTGATGTGCGAAAACAATGATTGCATTTATCTATTACCGAACGGATCGTTCGTCTAGCGGTAATAATCCAAATACCTCTGTCGTAATAAATTATCTAATAAATTAGGACCAGTATGGCAATGCATGCGATGATAATGATCTACAATGAGGTTCACTACATGATCTTTTCTAGGTAACAAAATAGGATGCCAATGGTCGAAGGTTAAGTTAGCGTTACTTAATCTTCCTCCAACGCGGATAAGTCTGTTGTGAAGAAACGGATTTAATTTCTGTACGTGTTTCTGGCATTTATTGCCCGATTTTAATTGCTTAAATTCTTCGCGGAAATGGGTTATTTGCACAGCGGTAAGAAGTTTACTTTCAGCAAACTCTAAATCGGAAACGGAAATAAAATTACTGCGCGGTAAATATTTAAGAAATCTATAAATATACACAATAGTGTTCAAAAGTTTGGTCCATTTAGAATGTCGAGAAACGATATGACACAATAATGGGATATCTTCGGTGGTTGTGGTGAGAGAAACCGATTTCAGTTCTGGAACGTCATAAGAAGGTTCCAGATTAAAACATGATATGGGCCAATCAGTCTCTTCTCTTTGTGTCCAGCTAGGACCGCCCATCCATAGTGGATGAACTAAGAGTTGCGAAGGTAATAAACCGCGGGATAAACAGTCGCTGGGGTTGTCACACCCAGGAATGTGATAAAAATGTTTCGCGGGTAAGAAATATTGAATTTTGGAAACCCTGTTAGCGACAAAAACCTGTAGGCGATGTGGAGATGTGTTAATCCTGTGTAGTGCTACAGTGGAGTCAGAGAATGCATAAATGCGGTTAATGTTACAACGTGATGAATAGCTATCTGACACAGCGCGTAGTAGCTTTGCAAGTAGTAAGGCGGCCATAAGTTCGAGTCGCGGCGTCGTAATAACCCGATTACTAGGCGAGACTTTGGATTTTGCGCACACTAAGGTAGTCGTTCGCTTGCCGTGGTTGTTCGCATGTAAATATACAGCGGCTCCATATGCACGTTCGCTTGCGTCACAAAAACCTAAAAGGGTGATATTGGTATTCTCGAACACCTTCACATGCCGCGGTATTTTTAAATCTGCGATAAGCGGTAACTCTGACTGAAACTGAGTCCATGCACTAACAAGATAGTCGGGAGGGGTATCATCCCAATCTGACTTCATTAAGCAGACTTCCTTGATAAGGAGTTTGGCGTATGTAATAACCGGACCTACTAGCCCAAGTATATCCCACAAGCGAGCCACTGTTGATAGCAAATTGCGTTTCGTGCAAGTGCGGTCGGATGGTAAAATAGTAAACGAAAAGTTATCGCAAGTCGGCAACCAATGCATGCCAAGAATTTTAAGAGACTCATCTTTTGTAAGGTCAATTGGTTTAGCTAACCGATACGATTCGGGAACATTTTCTAGTAACTCATAGGAGTTACTGGACCACTTTACCAATTCGAAACCACCCGATGCGAACATTTTGATGAGCTGTTGTAATCCGTCTAGCGCAACATCTTTATTGGAAAAAGAGCAGGCTATATCGTCAACGTTCAGTTGGGTAGTAGCGAGTTGCGCAGCGAGGGGAAAATTAGTTTCCTCGCGTTTAGCTAATTCACGAATGGTTCGGATGGCTATGAAGGGACTAGATCGTAAACCAAAGCATACACGTTGGAAAGCGAAATATCTTAGCGGTTCTCTATTATCAAAGCGGTATATTATTTGCTGATAAGGTCGATCTTCCTCACGAACTACAATCTGTAAATACATTTGACGTATATCAGCAGTTGCGGCGATTTCGAAAAGGCGAAAGTTTAATAAGATTTGAAATAAATTACACTGTAGCGGCGGTCCGACGTGTAAAATATCATTTAACTATACTCCAGAGTCGGTGTGAGTGCTTGCGTCAAGGACGATGCGCAGTTTGGAAGTGAGCTTATCCTCGCGGATCGCCCCATGGTGCGGTATAGCGTAACCCTTGCTATAATTTTGCGGTTCCAGAATTTGTTTAAGATAACCCTTAGATAGGTACTCACGGATGACTTCATCAATGCGATGCGATTTAAATGCTAGATTTTTATGAAATTTGCGTTCTAGATGAAGGAAACGTTTACGAGCTGTTTGTAACGAATCTCCTAAGAGGATAGTTTCGTCCTTGAAAGGTAAACCTACAACAAAGCGCCCGGTCTCCTCACGTTGTGTAGTGACAGAATAAAACTCCTCGCAATATCCTCTTGTTCGGAGAGAATCGGGGCATCGCTGAGGTCCTCTATTTCAAAAAACTTGCTTAACCGGTTCAGTGCGGGTGACACGCCAGGCGTGCCATCTCTTACTTTTGTATGTGGCGTATGACACGCGAGTCGTGTCTTTTTTTTTAAATCGTTATAACTCGCTCAAATTGCTTTTTTGGAAAATTTATCCAGAACAAAATATTCATTATTTTGCGAGTAGTTCATGCATGCAGCTGGACGGCATGCGTTTCTGGATATTTTGAAAATTTGAAACTTTTAGGGGTTGACAACCTTTTTTTAACGTGTACATGGTAGTATTTTTACTTTGTGGGTTTTAAATCATGTTATGGAAAAATTGTCTAATAAGTAACAAATAATAGCACTCATTGCGCTCGCTCACAAACTCAAGTTATAAATAAATTTCTGGAAAACAAGTCTTCTGTTAAAAAAAATAATGCGTTTGTCTTATTGTTTAATTTTGCTTAAAATGGTTGAACTGCCGTCTTATTACTATCGTATGGTCGAATAGACCTACGAAGTACCATGTGCTCTTGTGATATGGTATAAGGTTTATTTTTGCTTGAAACAGTTCGAAACCGTTCATGCATAAAAAAAAGTTTGCTAATAAATAGTCTTTTGTCAATCCGCCGCCGTATAGCGCCGGCGTTTTTTTCCTTTTGAAAACACTTGTTTAGCTATTCTTACTAATTAGACGTTTTCAGATCGACTTTAGTTTTACATTTGTATAACATTAAATAATATTTAACATTTGTAAATATCAATGAATGATATACCTTTTTTTTTTTTAAATTAAGGTTCTTCATTGTTTGATATTTACAAATGTTATTATTAGGTGAAAATTTAATTTAATAAAAACCAAGGTTTCCGGGGTGATTTAGCTGTACCTACTTATATAAATGATTTTTTATAACAACAAAAAATAGTACAAAATGTGTGTAATCTCTTCATAAAAAAAGTCACTTTCTCTCAATTTCAAAGAAAACGCGTAAAAAAAGACGTAGTTA